CTTGGAGTTTGGAGAATTTGGAATTTTTAGGAATTTGGAATCTCAAGTTTTTGGAATTTGGGAAGCTTGGGATTTTCGGGTTTTAGAATTTTGATACCTTGGAATTTTTGGGCTTGAGACTCGAAGATTTTGTGAATATGAAATTTTGGGACTTCAGACTTCTTAAAATTTCAGATTTTTGTAATCATATGATTTGAGTGGAAGTGAATTGTATGAAAATTTGAGACTGGGACTTTGAAAATGTAAGGAAACACGAAACTTGTGAATGTGACAACCTCGAAGTTAAAAGCTTTGTAATTTAAAAGTTTAAAAATACAGAAGTGTTAAAGAATGAACAAACTTCCAGGATTATCCTGAAGTTCAAATTTAATCTGTCTCTTCAAGAGCTTGTGTTAATGTACTTTGCAGAAGTAAAGTTCTTTGAGCTTATGCTGGTCTGTAAGTGTACAGCGAAGATTTCAAAGGATTTGTTTCTGTCCGTTCAGAACCTAGGATTATCATTATCAGCACGTTTAATCTATTTCGGGTTTTACATAGACTTCGAGAAAATTATTTCTTCACAATTTCACTGATCCCGAATGATTCAAGGTGATTACTTTTCAGTTAAATTTCTTGTTTCAAAATGATTAAACCAAAGAAAATCGTCGATTAAATACTGCGTAGAAAATACTGCAACTAAACGCGAAGTGAAAACGGAAAATATGTGGAGCACCGAGAAAAACATTTTCACGAACGAACTTTTTTCGATAAGGTTGTTTGATGTAGTACGAAGGTTTCGCTTCGATCGTCAAACAATTATTTCCAGCAGCAGGTGAAATACGTTGCTTTAAATGGAAAATAAAACCCAGTTTAGTTGTACATAATCTTTCCCGATATTTTTCTTTCCGAATACGATCTATCAAACGATTACTGGAGGAGAAGAGGGCTTGAAAATCGATTAATCACTGAAATCCTCCCGATAGATAGAAATCGTAAATTGAAATCGAGATTCTGATAGTCTATCAAGCTTTCTAGCTCGTGTATTCTCTTCTTTTTTCTGTGGAAACTTTATT